ATTGTAGATATTGTTTTATGAAACATTGAAAATTTGTTTTAGATACTGTTTTAAGTATGATTATATTTGCCAGATGATAATAATAAAGAATTCTGTGGAGTCAGTATTTGCCCTACTCCTAGTACCTAAATGTGAATAAACGATCACTGTATGTCAGTAAAAAAATCAAAGAACGCTGCTGTAATTCCCCGATGATACCTTAGTCATTTTCAATGAGGCTCTGGAGTACACGGAAGATGCAATTCTAGACCTAAAAGATTGATTAAACATAACATACTCACATACTGAAAAAAGCAGAATTAATCTGATAAAAAAAAGTTGATTCTGCGAATCGTAAAAAAAATACAACATTCCGATCTCATATTTTTACACAAAAATGAATTTTCCTTTTATTCATGTTAGCGAAATTGCTTTTTAACGTTTCCAGTGAAAGTTTAACGACTAAAATTTTAATTAAACAAGTTAATTTATATCTGACTTTAAGACTCAGTATCGCAAGAAAATTACCTATATCACTTAGGTCGGCCGGTGTTGTTTAATCTGTGGGAGTGGGAAATTATTCTATCTCGCGAAGCGCACAAATTGCGCAAGGACACAGCTGATTTATGAATGGACGTTAACGTTTGGAGGTCGGACATTAGTGGCAAGTGATAGCCTCGCGACGGCGCCTAATTCAACACCGGACACCCGAAACCAACCCTACATCTATATAACATCCACGTACATTTGCAGTCCATCAAAAACCGCACTAACCTACATATTCCCTTTACGTGCTTTCTCAAAAGGAACAATACAAACGAGGCGTTAAGGATATCTTTGCAAAATTGATTTGTGTAATAACATCACACTAACTCTTCGATCAATAATACTACTATTGATCGAAGCACTAACTATATAGAATTTATATGGCCGACATTTGCACCTGAGCTTGTTATGACTCGTCGCCTATATGGAAATGCCAACTGTGTCACTTACACATTTTTATGAATACAATGATTTTAATTTTTTTTTTTCCAAATTTAAATAAATTAGTTTTTTTTTATTACTTAGATGGTTGGACGAGCTCACAGCCCACCTGGTATTATGTGGTTACTGAAGCCCATAGACATCTACAACGTAAATGCGCCGCCCACCTTGAGATATAAGTTTTAAGGTCTCAGTATGGTTACAACGGCTACCCCACCCTTCAAACCGAAACGCATTACTGCTTCACGGCAGAAATAGGCAGGGTGGTGGTACCTACCCGTGCGGACTCACAAGAGGTCCAACTACCTGTTTATTGTTCTTGTAGACAGATGCACTGTGGCCACCTGATGGTGAGTGCCTGAGTGGTTATCTTCGCTCTTGGACACCAGCAAGGGGCACAGCCAAGCCGCTGTCTACTGCTGCGTTTTTCCGTAAACCTCGTTTGAAGAAAAACATGTCTCGTAACCCAAGAAGGGAAATTCGTTTCAAAGTCGGATGGTACGTGGCAGAAAAGTTTGGAGTTCTAAGTTAGATTAAGAGTAGGCGCTCCACTTCGATAAAGCGGCACGACACGAGAACCCTCTCATCGTGGCCGCCGGTAACTACATTCCCGATCCTGCGGACAGAATGGAAAGCAGTCGACGTCGCCCAAAACACGTCATCTCGGATCCTCCCGATCCACTAACGGTACTTCAAGCACCGGTCACCGTTCTCGTCGAACCCGTCGCTTGCGACGAAGGGCTCGAAGAGTAAATTAACTCTCAGACACAGCCCACTGAGTTTCTCGCCGGATCTTCTCAGTGGGTCGCGATTCCGATCCGGTGGTAGAATCTGCGAAGCACTGCTCTTGCTAGGGTCAGTGTTAGCAACTCTCCGGTTGAGCCCCACGAGCTCACCTACAAACGTTGGGGTGAAGCTGAAATAGCCTCTCAAGGCTATCAGCATAGGTAGGAAAAAAAAAGTAGACGTATTCCAAAGTTACTGAGCCATCAAATAGTATTCAGTTTTTGAATTATTGAATTTAAGTGAATATAAGTGATGCTAGTGATGAAGACAACGTTATTTATTCGTTGTCATTCAAATGTCAACACCTTACGTCGTCCACGTAAGCTTTAAAGTACGAGTAAATATTCGAAACTTCGGAAATAATACAATGGTAATAAAAAACGCCAGATTAAACAGTTAAAATAGTTTTAACCCTTTGACTGTCATGTAGATCAGCGGTGCCCTATAATATGGCGCACTGAGGTAATTATGTCGATGTCTGTTACTAAGCACCTGGATTGTCTAACTTTGCCTTCTTTTGTTTTTAATGTATGTTTCTTAGTGTCTTCGGATTCGTCTTTCCTAGAGTCTACTAGATATTCCGGCGCCTTTGTAAGAAAATCGACATTTTTTTTTCTTAGATGCGAGTACGATCTCACAGCCCACCTGGTATTAAGTTGTTACTGAAGCCCATAGACATCTACAACGTAAATGCGACGCCCACCTTGAGATATAAGTTTTAAGGTCTCAGTATAGTTACAACGGCTACCCCACCTTTCAAACCGAAACGCATCATGCTTCAAGGCAAAAATAGGCGGGGTGGTGGTACCTACCCGTGCGGACTCACAAGAGGTCCTACTACCACCAGTAATAACTTTACTTTTTACACATAATTACTTTAGTGCACCACGTAGTGCACCGCTGACTTACACGGCATTCAACGTGTTAATTATGTCTATCACTCGCAAAAACCACAGAACCACTTACTAACTCTTACATTGAATTGAGATCATTGCACGAACTTTCCCGTGACACCCGCGTGTCCTCTTTGTGTAGATAAATGAATCTCGGTCGTTTATCACATGCTTGCGACAGCTAGTATGCAAGTCCGTAGCCTGGAAAGCTTATCGTGAAACGCAGCGAGCACACTCGATCCGACATTTGTCAGAAGACTACTCTTGACCCTTGCGCGCATATATCACTGAGACCATTCAGGCTTGTTCTATAGACGATATACATTACATAGATTATACTGGATTTGCCTCGTGCCTTCACCCAAATGAGATTTTCTGTTCAAAAAGAATGAAACACGCTGCATTGTCCCTTCACAAACATATTGATTGCATCAACCACTTTTCTATAAACTATCAATCGACTTATAAGACTCATTGGTACGTGTCATCACAAATTAGAGAACACGCTATCGGGTTTAGCATAGGAGATAGATATATGTACCTGGCGTCCCAATTTTATAATTTATTTTATTATGATGGAAAATATCGTGCATGTTTATCCAATTAGCTGCGTGCGTAATGTCATGCAAATACAGGGCAGCCATTTTAGCGTGACTGGGTAACAAACAACCAAAAATTCACATTTCACTGAAGATTTTCACACAATTGCGATTTTGTTTGGTTTTAATCGACTTTGCTTGCTAGTTCACTTTATATAGGGTTTCATTTTAACATTGCTTCATTGAGGACTCCTTGCAACCTGATGGTGGGTGGGACTGCAACACGGTTTCCATTACTGGCAGTCAAATGTACAATGCTTAAAATCTTACTTTGCTAATTACTTAATAAAAACTATTATTGTTAAATTATTATTATTACCCTTGTTTTTTTATTATTATCACTACGACATGTCTTGAGACTGCACAAAAAAAAACCATATTTCTTTCTATTACATGAAGCAATCAAACATTACAGTTTCAAAAGCAAGGTAGACTTTCTCGAGCCTAAAGATGATAATTAGACACGTTTGCGAAATCAATGGGCTTAGCTTAACTTAGCAGCTATTGAACACCGAGTAAGCATGCGTGCATGGTTGAACTAATGACCAACGTCAGTACTGGTGCTTCATACCGAAAGTAATAGAATTAGAGTCTTACTAAAAACTAACAACTCCATCAAATATTCGTCAACGGTTCTTAAATAGTACAGTACCTAGTATACTATTCGTCTAGTTCTTATTACCTAATCCAGCGTCCCGGGCGCCATTAAGCAGGCCGAATGCAGGCAGCATTGGAGGAAGCTGGTGCAAAAACTGGACCAAGGTGGTCACGACCCTCAGTAATGAGGAAACGACAAAGAAGAAGACCTATTCCAATATATTTATCACTGAAATCTGATAAGCTACTCTGAGATTGTACCTGTGACGCGTAATAATAATGTTATTAGCTATTCCCGCCGACTGACGCACCCGTAATGACAAGGATTACGTTTGAATTAAGGCAGCACTTTATGGATACCCATTCCAGTGAAACGGCACCAGTTCGCAATTTATGATCATCGAAATTAAAATATAACTCAAACTCCCAGTTCACCTTTCACTGGGAATACAAGTATCTCCAAGTCGTATTTATTAAAATTATTTTGGAATGTTATTTTAGATGTTTTTTCTTGTACAATAATTTTTATTGTGATCGCAATCTACCTATTCTTGATTAAGATTGAAGTTTTGAATTAGTTATTTCAACGAAATCCCAGCCTCCTTGTATTAATTGGTCCTGGAGCCTTTCGACGACACAAGATGAAAACTACTATCCAAACTATACGAGAACCCACTCAAATACGTAAATTGGGTAAAATATTTACTAATTAAAAACTTGCTTACAACAGCACCTACAGATTTCAACATTAAATTTAAAAAACCCAAGGACCGTATTTTTATACGGTCCCTGGGTTTACGATCAACTTAAAAATAATTTAGATGATATTCATTAGATTAAAGATTATAACATATTATAATTCACATAGATATATATAATAATATGATACAAAATTAAATTTGTATTCAAATTCGTAATTAATAAAAATGAAATAAAAATGTATTTGTTCGTTATCTTCACTAATTTAACAGACTTTATTTTAGGTACACACATATACATACGAAAAGTGCAATTATACAACTAGCTTTAAATGTAATGGTCATAAAATAAATGGTAGGACATGCATTATTCTTAACAATACACATTTTGTATTATAAACTACATTTCACTATTGCCAATACTGGAACTCTTGAAAACATCAAATAGTAATTTCTTATTTTCAATTACGGCGATACGAAGTGTAGAGAAGTGTGAAATATGAATAAGCCGTGGTAAGTATCTGAAAATTATTATACAATTAATTTAATACCAATTGAAATGTTCATAAAGGCCTTCAACGTTTTTGGAGAATTCTTTAATCTAATGTACTCCAATCAAAAAGTAAAATTATTTTTACTAATGTTCTATCTTTAAATATTTTTTTATTGCCCTTCTAAGCAGACGAGCATACGGCCCACCTGATGGTGAGTGGTTACCGTCGCCTATGGACTTCAGCAATGCCAGGGGCAGAGCCAAGCCGCTGCCTACCGAAATTTAAAAGTATTTTCCTTCAGTGTAGAATGGCTACGGAGAGTGTGTGAACTATTACAGAATCCGAAACAGCATCAAACTACTACTAGCCTCACGTTTGTCGAATTTATTAAATTAAGCAAAGATTTTTATGCTTTCAGTCGTGTTTCGTGTTTGGGAACACGAAAAGCTAAATGAAATAGCAATCAGACGCGTTTGCTAGTGACCATGATTCTTACGCGTCAGAATGTTTTAATTCAATTCACCCAACGGTCGAAATTTGACCATAATCACTGAAAACCTAAAATCCAGATTCATTTTATACATTAATTAATTCTAGTCTTTAATTTTGCTATTATCATTTACTCTAGGACAGTTAGAAGAAAAATATTTCCAAAAAAAAGATGAACGATGACAAAATGAACGATTGATGACCGAAGAGAGAAAAGCACTGAACTGTTTTATCATTATCTACTTATGTATATATATATTGAAAAAACATCAGCAAAATATATTTATTCTATAGATTTCAGTGTTATCATGTCAGGATTTATTACCATTACTGTATTTTTGGAACGCATCCAATAAATTCTCCATTACATTCGTTTCATGAAAAAACATTATTCTCAATTCACAGACTATATTGTTAAAAAAAGTATTATTTACTTACAGAGCTATAGGTGGTCATTGTGATTGAACGAAATTTCAGAGCAGTGAAATACAAAGGTTTTTGCGACCTAAAAATGAATATGAGTAATTTTTAAATTAGCATGAATATTTTAATTAAAATAGCACTCATAAAATTACTAAGCTTGTTTTCCAACGAATGAGACAAACAATGACATTTTCTGAGTAAAAAAACACCTATAAACATTTACCGTTTTTGTTTGGAAAACGCATATTCAAAATTTTCCCAAAACATAAAAAACAATATTTTAAGTGGAAATGAATTCAAAACATATTCGGTCACATTGTATTTTCATGTCCGGACATTTCCATATTCACGAATCGACCGTTCGACAGAATGAAACACATTCAACAAATCAAAATAAACATTGAACAATAATAGCTGAAACCTTTTTCAAAATACATACATAAAATATATAACATCGAATTCCTGCACCGATGCGATAAAAATATTTCTAAGAGAGGATTGATTATATGAATATAATGACCAACGGCGAATGAACGTAATCCATTACCTTTGAAGTACGACCAGGAGCGCCCGCCGGCAACGGGTGTTGGTTCTGTACCAACCGCTTTCATACACCGCGTCAGATACGCCCACGCTCTGAAAACATTTTTCTGTCTTCACACACAAACATCTACTTGTAGGCTTTTAGCACATACATTCGAACACAACCCTTTGCCAAAAAAATAATCTCTTTGTATGTTTTTCGTATTCGAAGTTATTATTGTAAGAAACCATTTCGTTTCTCGAATTGGTTCTTTTTGGTGTGAAACGAAAGTAAAGCTACGTGAATTATTTTTATTTCAATTTAGTGTTTTTTGCCGCGCATAATGTTTTATTTGTCTATCAAATTCTTGGTAAATTCTCAGCTCCGTAATACTGGAAGGTTTCATTTTACTTCAACTAACTTAACTTCATTTCATTTTAAGAAATAAAAATTTCGTATTAATCATTCATTGCGTTTTACTTTTTATATATGTAGTATACACGGCTTCGGCAATTTTTATTTGAGATATGTCTGAGACAAACGATAAACGATAGACCATTAACGATGTTAAAGCAAATAGAACTACTTGAAAAAAATAAGTATTTCTATAAGAGTGACAAGTGAACTGATTTACTTACTGGATTAGGCCGGTTCGCTAATAAATTTGTATTTCGCAGTTTATTATGTCACCGATAGAATATCTAATTCAATTCAAATCAACTTTATTTCAACTTAATGTCATCGTAATAAATAATTACTTTTTACTGGTGGTAGGACCTCTTGTGAGTCCGCGCGGGTAGGTACCATCACCCTGCCTATTTCTGCCGTGAAGCAGTAATGCGTTTCGGTTTGAAGGGTGGGGCAGCCGTTGTAACTATACTGATATCTTAGAACTTATATGTCAAGGTGGGTGGCGCATTTACATTGTAGATGTCTATGGGCTCCAGTAACCACTTAACACCAGGTGGGATGTGAGCTCGTCTTTTCATCTAAGCAATAAAAAGAAGAAAAAAAATAGGCAGATAGGCAATAGATAGGCAAAGTATATTAACTTTACTACTGTTAAAATCATCCATGACAACGAAAACTATTATATAAAGTATTCGAAACGTCAAAAAGAATACAAGGACAATAGAAAACGCGAAATCGAACCGTAAAACTAGTTTTAATCATGTCCAGTAAACCAGAGAAAATACTTTAAAACCAGTTCCTAAGAATCTATAATAAAATTTATAAAATTCCTAAAATAGTCTTAAGAAGAACTATAACGATACATACATATTATTATGTACTTAGTAGACCTGTGTTTATATCTACGTTGTATTTTACGTTCATTTTCTTGTAAATAAATACCTTGAAAATGTTGTCATTATAAAAATACAAATAGAAAATTCAATAATTAACAGTAAGAAAATGAAATCCACAACGTGCAATTTGTTAGGTACATAACCGTTAACATTTTATTAAACTTAACCACACAACCATTGCATCAAAGTTTTCTTAAAGCCAATAATTACGATATACCATAAATGATGAGTAAAATACAATTTACGAGTGAATTTTGTAAAACAGTTATGCCACAGCAAAGATTTGTGTTTTTAGACAGCATTGGAAAACACCCCATTGAATATTGCAAACCGAATAATGGATTTTGGTTTCACCATTTTTACGCTGCGCAACAAATCCTGCGCTGTGTGAAAGCAAGGTAACATAAGCATAAATTTATTTTATATGCCTATATATTATGCCTTTATTTATAGTTTTATATATTATGCCTTTATTTATAGCTTTTAGAGTTACTATTCTTACTAGAGAGTAAGCCAATTTTAAACTGAATTATAAAAATCAGAATACCACTCTTGATAAATATTCAAAAGGCTATTTTTATTTTTTTGGTAGTGATCAAAATCCTAGCTACAGGCGCGAAGCTTATAGTGTATATCACTACTGCGAGCACTGTTTTGTATCACTCTTGTGTGGTTTCAGGTCGAAGCAATTTCAGATAATTTTTTTTATATTTCAACAGTGGAGCAGAAAATAACTACTATAATTAGACTTTACCAAAAAGCCTATGGGCCAGGACACGGAAGCCAACATTCACGAATTTGAAATCTCAAGTGTAATGGAATTTGTCTAGCTTACACTTTTACCTATAATAGCTTGGTGACAAACGTATCCAGAACGGCTAAGCTAAGTATTGCTGGCTCACACCACTATTTATTTTTCTGTAAGGATTGCCGATATAATTTACAACAGAACATTTAAATAAAAAACTGAAAAATGTTAATACATTTGAAATCTCTATGTTTTACAATAGTTAATTTCAATATGTATTTTTTATTTAAAACAAATCCAGTTCTCTACTTACGCTACAATACCTAATCTTACACAAAGATTTTACTGAACCTAATTTGTTCGAGATAATTTTATTATTATTCACTTTTCTCAGTTCAATAATCAAAATGCGAAATAAATGTCTTACAAAATGAGTCTCTGGTTTTTTTTCTACTGACTCCAACCGTATCAAAAACTCATGGTAATTTCACAAACAACTAGATAATAAAGCGCTCGAACACGTGAAAGAGAATTGTGCTTATAACAGAGCTATTCAAAAACATTCGCCACTCCAAATCCTTCTTTGGCATAAAATGAATATGTGCTGAAACATCCGACGCCCCGGGATTACTTACTTGCCCAAATAACATTCCACGGATTCTTGAGACCTATTGTCTTAATTAGAATTCTGAAGCTAATACACTAAACCAAATGTAGAACAGCGGTTCCGTAAGCATATTGTTATTACGTTTCAAACTTTCTAAGTATGTTTATGCGTTATTAAACACGACTACTTAGTCATATAATCTTTAATAATCCTTAAGATACTTTTGTGTGTACTTGTTTTAGCTTGAGTAGGTGAAAATATAAATCCACTATTATCTGTGACACAAATGGATATATTCTTATTCCGTTAAAATAATTTAAAAATTTCTATGACCTCAAGCCAGAGAATATGTTCCCCGAGTGAATAACTTGGCTGTCTAGACGCTGCAATCGCAAAAGACGTGGTATGTGTGTGACAAGTTATTTATATTTAAATCAATACAATAAATTTTTATTTCTAGTATTCAGAGATATTAAAAGTATTTACACCTTTTTTATTGACGTACAAAAAAACTGTTTAATAATTTCAAAATAAATAAACAAGCATAGGGATCCAATATTAGTAATTATAACTTAATAAAACCGATATGTGTGAGTAACAAAAATGAAAGAGTTCAAAAGACACTTACCGCTCTATAAATATCGTCAGCGTACCAGCAAACGATTCCCATTTGAGTCAGAGCAGCTCCTAAGAAAAACTTATCGCTCATTTCCATCCAGGGCTGTAGAAACTATAATAAAATTTAAACTTCAATCTACGTCGCTTCTCTACCGTTTGACATCTAAATAGTTTTAGATAATAACGTGAAGTTAAACATAATTTGCTAAACCCAAACTCGGTTGCAGACTGGCTTATTGGTTGGTCTTGATATTTTAATGTTATCTGCAACTTGTGATGGCGAATTTAATTCTTCTAGTTGGATCTTTAGTATTATAAAATTTACTCACCACGATCGTAAAAACGACGCAGCAGATATTAACAGAACTGAGGAGGACGTTTATGAGATTAACGACCGAAAAAGCATTCTCAAGATCATTGATGTAGCTAAAAATTACAATACAAAGGAATTATATTATATTAAATTACAATACAAAGGAATTATCATTGATTTTTTAAATTAATGAAAGTTTTTTTCGTACTGAAAGGCACTGGCATTGCTTACGTGCATGATGACTACTGCATTAGGCATTAGGTAGACCGTATGATCGTCTGCCAACAAAGACAATAAAAAAAAGAAAACAAAGCACTATCCTAACATAAGACCTTTTAATCGTACAACATTGCGTGAGGTGCGAATCCATTACAATATCTGAGTTCCAAAGAGGCTGATATTTAAGTCTCAAAAATTGTTTTATTCCCTATAAAATTACCTACATTGGTCAAAGTCAAATAAATCCTCTTTTCTTAAGTTCATAAATATTCACTCCATTATGTGTTATCTTAAGATCGTTTATTATAATAAATATATTTTTCAGATTAATTCTATAAGATTATATCAATAGGCAAACAGAAAAATTTTCAGTACGATTTTCTTTTTTGTTTATTAACTGATTTATTTCTTGTTTAGGAACCACTGACGAGATATCTCTATATCTGTAAAAAATACTGTTTCCAAATTTTTTATTGACAATATCTCTATAATGTCTATAAAAATTTGGAAACAGTATTTTTTCTACCTTTACAAGAATATGTGAAATTAATAAAATGGTATCTTACGGTCAGATGTTGACAGTTCGGCGAACAACAGTCATTCAAATCACGTGATTAAAACGACTACCACTCATAAAAGAACATTTGTGTGTGTATAAAAAATTGAAGTATATGCCGCTTTTAAAAAGATCATTTTGGTAATTTAGCAAATTAGCAGCGGCGTATTAACACAAAGGGACAGTTCCATACGCGGTAGAAGACTACATTAAACTGTTACTATAACAGAAAATTTTATAATTACCCAGCCGATTTACTGAACCTAATTTGTTCGAAACAATAATTTTATTTATTATTCAGTTTTCTCAGTTCAATAACCAAAATGCGAAATAAATGTCTTACAAAATGAGTCTCTGGTGTATTTTTACTACTGAAATGATTTCATCGTAGCAGTCATTGTCGGATTCGTAATTGCTCCCCTCGGTTGTAGCTAAGCGACGTATCTGCACTTGCAATAGACGTAACAACATGCTAATGTGGCTGGACATTGTCATGAATAACAGGTCTGAGCCGAGCATACAGCATACTGATATAACCCCTGGGAATAAAGCAAAACTGTTTAGCTGAATCGAAAAAGAACAAAAGCGGTTATCCGTGAATAGTTGGGACATTAAATTAGTTTTACTTTCACATTGTTACTCGGTAATTTGGATATTATCTGATACAACTTTTTAAATGTGTCATTTAATAGCACAGAGCTAAATAACTATAATTTAATTCAATTAATTCATTTATTACGACTACATATATCCCAAATAAAATTCTGGAAAATATTCAGATAAATATACTTTATTTTTCAAAAAACAACTTAATTTGTTAAACGAAAAATAAAATATAACTAAATAATATAAAATATAAAAAATGTAAATAGTAATACCTGAAAATGTTTCGAAAACATAAACTATTTCATGGAAGATTGGTTGGGTTTTGTCGAAAGGATAAAGAAGCTGCCATACGAAGCCAAGCTCTCCAGGAGTCCCTCGCATTTTTCGGTACAAAAGAATGGCAATTGGCGTTAAATTGTACAACCAAACTCCGAGAACATTCCAAAAAGCGTATACTAAAATACATTACAATGTGTGATTAGACAGAGTATTATTATTATTAACGTAGACGGGTTTCTAATTTCTTCATCGAAAACTAACTTATATCGCTTATTTCAAAAACATCAAATTCCGAAACCATCGCTACTAAATAACAATCTTCTTTATTAATATACTTAAATCGTTCTAAATAGTTTTGTGAAAATTTGCATTTTCTAAAACCCGTAAAACCTACATTGTAGTGACTTATTGGTTCGACACAAGTTTTTTAAATATTTTCATCGTTTTCAATTCGATTTCTCTTTCTCTTTCTGTCAATAGCACTATAAGTAAGCGATAAAACTCGTTCATACAGTAAGTCAAACATCAACCTATTTAAAATAATGAAAATTACAAGCTTACGACCAATATGAAACAATGAAAAAATTCATATCCGACCATTCTGACATCAAGAAATGTTATCGTGTTGTCTGTTTTGCGTTAACTTACAAAATTGTCTTAGCTTTAAAGCGGACAGGCTGTCTCGTTTTATTTGCGCTGCTACTTCATCCTTAATCGAAACAGGCCATATGACTGCCAGTTCCTCAACTAACTGCTTGAAGGTGTTTCGTTTATACCATATCGTTATCAACTTCCCGAAGCCTGGTTAAAATATTTTTTATTATTATAGATTAAAAAGTCATTTATTTTATAGAGTCTCAGTGCTGTTTGAAATCTTTAATTGACGAGTTAATTGATTTAAATGAAGAGATGAATTTTCTTCTCTCTTTGATTTGATTAATTATGGGAGCCAATGGACATCAAATACGACGGTCGATTTAAAAATTTAAGACAAATAGGCTTTCCATTGATGACTCTTCCAAAGAAAACTAAATATTTATCTTTAACTCAACAGTCGTACCAAAATAGTAGTGATGCATATCTGTGTTCACTCTCGCAACACTGTGGTAGGTAACATGACGGCAAATTAAACATTAAAAAAAGATGTGTGGTATCGTGGGACACCCGATATGAACGAAGTTCCTTATTACAAAAATATTAATTTTAAGTTTTATTCGAGGTATAAAGAATATAAAACTGGAGGTTTCGCAACAACCCACGGTCATTCGGTAACGTGCGAACTTATTGTGGTACACTTCATTCACGGTTGTTTGCATAAGAGTGTATTGCGCAAACGAACGTACAAAGTTAAGTCGTACACTGTGTGCATTACTAATAAAAATCTTACGTTACGGACCTTTTTTCCCGGTTAGGGTACGCCCCCGCATCGTCCCATAAGGAACTTCGATCCAAAAACAATATTAATCTCATCTTATATACTGAATGATACTCTAATTAAAATATACATACATACATACTCATCGTATCGTATCCCGCAATGTGTAAATAGCTTCCAACGAATTCTTCAATAGAAGCAGAATTTATCATCTGCCCAGCAACGTAGGCCACCTCGCCAGCGAGCATCAGAACTAACATCGACGATGAGAAAATAAACAAAAAGTACTTTTTTAATTTAGCTAAAACCGTTAAAGGTACTTCGTCGATGAATGATAATCCAACCCTGCGGATGCAAAAATTACATAGCTTTAAAGTTTCTAATATTTCCATTCTGGCAAATTTTTGGTCGCTTTCAGACATATTTCTAACTGTTTATGAGGTTTGAGTACGAGTTACGTCCTAGCTCTCAAAGAAAATCTCTTACAAATGAACAAGTCGATATTTTTCGTAGTCTATATAACTGCTTCATGTTGTATTAATAATTTCGTTACTTTGGAAGTTATACCATTTGATAACATATACATAAAATATTCATTATCAAAAAAAATCTTCATAAAACGCAAATGGGTTACGAACTCTCTCATAAATAATGTACGTTTTAAGAATACGAGCATTCATTAAAACTTTTTTTCAGACCTATCCCAGTTATGACTTTGACGAATGTTATTTGTCGAATATTAAACTTATTGGGGCTCTTTTTTGAAACTTTTTGGATTACTTCGAAAACAATATTAAATCTCTAACGAAAATTAGGCTGAATAGCACAATATGTAAAGATCCAAATATATTTTCAAATTCATTTTAGTTCTATGATGATGACCGATGAGATGACTACCATTGAGATGACCATTGAGATGCTAACAATTCCGAATTACTAATTAGATTATTTTACTGAGGAATTTGTTGCACACCGTAATTACGTACTTGCGTGGTTCCTTAATAAATAAATAGCAGTTCCCTTCTCTACGATTAAGTCAAAAAAGCGATATAGACTAAATACAGCTACTATAGTAACAAAAATCTTACTCTAGAGAATTGTTCTAGAATTGTGGGTATTTTAAGATAAAAATCGCACAAAATATACATTGCGCGGTAGAGCATAGTAATTATTACTGACAAAATGTTATGGTTTTAAAAAAAAAAAACTGAAATAAAGCATTAATAATAATAATAATATTGTAAATCAAGGAATCACATGCTATACGTATAGATGGCACAGCTCTGGTTTTTTTTGCCGCGAAATAGTTGTTGAATGGCGGAATTAGTATAATAACGTCTATGAGCTACGGTAAAATAAAATAAGGGAACGTTCACATGCACTTGCTTTTGCCGTTTGCTTTGCGGGTAAAGAATAAAGAATTCCAGAATTTAATTGGCCAATTCGCTTTTTCTAAATCCTCTTATTATATAATATTTAATTCTATTGTTACGATGCCGTAGATTTACCTTTGTCTCATCAGATTACTATCTCACTCAAATATTTCATAAATTGAAAATGCTCGTAAGCTGCTTCACTGTCAGACGCCATGCTCTAACTATAACATCTGTTTAATACACACCATACACAGAACAATCCCTAAGGCATAATATTAAACAGAGTAGATAATTACACGACAACGACATTTTAAAATCCGTATGAATCTGTTAGTAATGGACATTTAATGATGGAAACTCTTTTTTACGTTACTTACAACAGTTACAACATTTCATACTTGTGCATGGCGCATCTTATCTAATTTGTGACGAAGGTTAAATTTTTATTATTAAAAACATTTGTTTTGTTTTAATACATTGCATCAAAACAAAATATTTTATGGTCGCTAAATTCTGACGTGTCTTGTTTACAGTGAAACAATATACGCACAAAATTACGACCGAGCATAAACATCAGCATAATTTAAACGTGTGTCATGTAAATTAGTATCATTTGAATAACTTCGTTCGGAAACTCTGCTCTTATAGAAAACAAAACAAAAAACAGAAAATTCTACCGTATAATAAATACTAAGTAAATTGCCAAAGCACATTATTACCATGATTTTCATGCAAATTTATGAGAATGAAAACAATGCAGTACCTTTGGGTGAATTACTTTGAATTTAATTATAGCTTGTGAACACACATCACGATAAGACGTTAAAGAAGTGCAATAAGCTAAACCCATTAATGTTAGACCGTCATCTGTAAATGTAAAGAGTCAAAGAGACGATAAGGTACCGAATATTTAAAAGACATCCATTGATTTTTACACGAGATAAATAGAGGCACATGGAATAGAAAAAATTGTGGGTAAAATAACAACGTAACAACAAAAATAAGAAGAACAATCATAAAAAATAAACATGTCAAACGAAATTGTAATCACGTACATTCATATCAAAAATTTCAATCGTGTAACATAAGATACTTATCTAAATTAGTTATCCACCTGAGCGTCAAATTATCTTTTATATGTTGCCCTATATCACGTTAATACATATTTAGGATAAAATGAGTTCGATTTCGTCGGAAATTATTATTGTGGGAAGCAAATCATGTGAATTTTTCTAAACCAGTACACTTGGCCTCTGTTCGTGAACATTAAAGCTCAGCTACTGACAAAATCCGAAGGTCTGCAAATTTCGGTTAGGACCGAATGCAATTAAACGTGTATCAAAAACAGAAAGCTTATTTATAAGATATTTTAATACGTATGATTAATGGAATTATTAACAGTTTTTCTAGTAATTTAATTTAATTGAAAAATCATAAATTTCGTAGTCTACGATCTTGCACGATAATAAATTAATGCAATACCATACGTACATACATATTTGTATTTAAAACAATGGTTATAAAATTTCTGGGACATCATAAAAGATCAAGTTAAGAAATCATAATGAGGTTTTTAGTAAATAGAGGTCTTCATCATTTCGCATACCTAAAAGGTAAGTGAAATTTTAGTCTGTCTATTTAATCCGTAAAAATAAAGTATGATAAATTGATATAACTCACTATAACACCAAGTAATTAGATTAGTTCAATAAATGAACTTGCTTTCCGCTTACGCGTTGTTTTCGAAGTTTCAGCTTCAGGATCGATTACACCACATATTTAAGTCTCCTTCTTTCTACCTTAAGTAAAAACGACAAGACTATAATGATACCATTTAGAAGCCATAATTTTTTGATACTTAATGAACATTCTGTATGTTTCAGTAGTGAACCACGAGAACTACGTATTTATAAAATGTAAGTAATATAAAAAATTACACGAAATCGCTGTAAAAAAAGAGAGAAGAACTTTAAAAGTCTGGAGTTGATTTAAAATATTCCTTATTATGTTGCTTTTTTTATTGCTATTTTATTTATTTGTATTTTATTTATGGCTTTTTTTATAAATGTCTTTCTACTCGTAGTTTTCGGTTTAATTTATAAATAAGATTTGAAAAAAATAAATCCATCCGTTGACGTAAGCAAACTATGTGCCGCAAATCCCTGGCTTGATGCAGTAAGAGGCTCACCTGTCCTGATATTATTCTGTTCCCGCATTTAGAAGGCTTTGCAGCTTTGCGGGATTATGTACAAGCGCGGGATCTCGTCTGTAAGCAAGCTGCTGGTGGATTCGCTTCTAACAAATCTTCAATTTGCTGGAATTCTCCTCCGTAAAATATAACGTACCGAACATTAAATTATTCTGAAACATCTTCTTCGAGATATTAATTCAATAGGCAGCAGCTTGGCATTACTGACATCCATGAGCAACGGTAACTGCTTACCATCAAGTCGTCGTGGCCTAAGGGATAAGACGTCCAGTGCATTCGTGTTGAGCGATGCACCGGTGTTCGAATCCGAGCCAGGTACCAATTTCTAATGAAATACGTACTCAACAAATGTTCACGATTGACTTCCACGGTAAAGGAATAACATCGTGTAATAAAAATCAAACCCGCAAAATTATAATTTGCGTAATTACTGGTGGTAGGACCTCTTGTGAGCCCGCGCGGGTAGGTACCACCACACCACCCTACCTATTTCTGCAGTGAAGCAGAAATGCGTTTCGGTTTGAAGAGTGAGGCAGCCGTTGTAACTATACTTGAGACTTTAGAACTTATATCTCAAGGTGGGTGGCGCATTTACGTCGTAGATGTCTATGTCCAGTAACCACTTAACACCAGGTGGGCTGTGAGCTCGTCCACCCATCTAAGCAAAAAAAAAAGTGGGCAGTACGCTAGTCTGCCAGCATGGGGGAAAAAACTATCACACTTTTATTGATTTACGTAATTCCTTAAAGGGTGGGACGTGCAAGCATGACAAGGAAATTTTCGACTTGATATTATCAAAGAGATTATAATGTAATTGCTGCCCATCTTGAGATATGACATCGAATTTCCAATTAAACTGTATAACAAACTACGTAAATTTACAAATTATGCTATTTTTGTTACACAACGAACTATTCATCATGGAAATAGTTCGAAAAGATGCTGTGTTAAAGAATGTGTTTTAGAAAAATAAGTGGAATTGGAACACCGATGACATTAATCGATACGAGTACACGGGGTTATATTTTCATCTAGACCACGATGGCTTACGAGACGAGAGATCATCTATGTCCAAGTACAATGTCTAAGCAAACTGATGATAAAGCAAATTATTTAAAAAAACAGTCCTTTATCTAAAAAGAACTGTTTCTTTTAATAATTTAATATTTGTAGAAATTTATAAATCATTAAATCTGTTAAAAAAAAACACGTTTGCCTTTACGATTTCTCGTGTTCATAGCACAGAATTCAAATAATATATTTAAATAAAAGAACATCAGCAAAGAGAAATCAATCTCTCATCGGGGGAATCACAACCCTCAATGATAAGGAAAACAACACAAGGAAAGGAAAGAAACTTATAACTCAAACAGAATTTGAAAATAAAACAAAAACAAAATTACGTGGTTTAAAACAAATCGTGAGGAATTCATAAATAATAATATCAGAAATACAACTCCTTTTATCAGAAATTCATAGACTTATAAGCTTGGAACGTTATAAAGCTTTGAGTGGAGTTAAAGAAAATGTAAGGATTCTCAGCAGCTTATACGATTTCTCCATTGCAATACCGTTTCTGTCATGTATTCCGTATCTCTACACGCTTTTGAATCATTCATATTTCAAAAAAGACACAATTCATAAACACATAGACAACAATTCGACATTTAAATTTAAACTTAAGCTTTCCTGTTACAATTTAAACTCATATTCTAACTATCATTCAAGATTATTCAGACCTCTCCAAATTTAGTATCCGTTTTCGTAATAAACCACACAGGAGAACACTGCAAATTTCTCGTGCCGCTTGCAAATCGATGACTGAAATGAGAAAACA